GTTTAGGATCAGTGTGATTTTTTTTACTGATTTTGAACAAAGTCACCAAGGCTGCATTTATTTTATCAAAAATACACTAAAAACAGTAATAGTGTGAGATATTATTAAAATTTAAAATAACTGATTTCTATTTTAATTTAATATTCTAAAGTGTGTTTTATTCCTGTCATGGAAAAGCTGAGTTTACGTGAACGACGCATCTTCTGTGTCACATGATCCTTCAGAAATCAGTCTAATATGCTGATTTGGTGCACAATAAATATTTCTTATTGTTATCAATCTTGAAAACAGCTGTGCTGCTTAATGTTTGTGGAAACCGATACATTATATTTAGCATTCTTAACATAATTTATTTGCAATATAGAATTTCTTGCACAAACATATACATTGTAATGTCAAATGCTGTGAATTTTACAGTCAATTTTCATAAATGTAATGTATCCTTGCAGAATAAAAGTAGCCTATTAATTTAAGCCTAGACCCATTTTTTACATTCAGGGTGTCAAATGTACAGTAGTAACTTAAAACACAATTTTTATTTTGTTATATCCAATCAATTTCTATCACTGCGTGCTCATCATTAAAACGCTCATATGGGGTAACTGTCTAAGATACCTACAAAATGTACAACACGATGTTAATTTTGATTCTACACATTTAAATGTCAGTGTGTGCAAGACAACAACAGGTAATAAATTAACTCAGTCAGGCTGAAATGACATGACACACTTAGCAGGGTTTAACAAGTATGCTAATGAAGGGGAAATCACTAATGAGTAAAAGGAAGAAGCATGCAGTCAGTGTTTCATGACACCAATCTAAGCACACACACACACAAACAGACAATTACTTTTCATCATTGAACTCAATTTTAAATTCTGCATTAGCATTAGTCATTATTCTCATTGTCTGATGACCATCCAACAAACCATCAGCATTCATTGACTGTGTGTGTGATGCATATTGTACACAAAAATAGCAAGCATTGATTGAAATGGTCATGTCCGGTCTGATTGGCTGGCTTTACGCAACCTCTGGTACACAATGTTATTTTGGATTAGGGCTGTCACAATGAGTGCATCACCGAAAGCAATAATTATTGTGGCATAATCTACTGAAGGTAAACATGGCTGGGCTCTCAGATTGCAGTAGTTTATAAATCTTAACTGACTGCAAAATTTTGTTGCATTACGGTAATAACGAGAATCTTCACAGATTTTTTTCTTTTAAATCTCAAACCTGCACAAGCTACAAGATTTGAAAATTGTGGCTTATCACACACTAAAATGGCCCCCACAGTCACCAGATCTCAACCCAATAGAGCATCTTTGGGATGTGGTGGAACGGGAGCTTCGTGCCCTGGATGTGCATCCCACAAATCTCCATCAACTGGAAGATGCTATCCTATCAATATGGGCCAACATTTCTAAAGAATGCTTTTAGCACCTTGTTGGATCAATGCCACGTAGAATTAAGGCAGTTCTGAAGGGGGTCAAACACAGTAATAGTATGGTGTTCCTAATAATCCTTTAGGTGAGAGTAGTCTGGTGTAAGTCTAGTCAAAATAACCTTGAATTTGGATACATGTTGTTTTTTGCCACAATAACTTGCGAGATGTAAGATATTTAATTTTGTAAGCAAAGTAAACAATGAATACAAGGTGTTTGATTTCATTTATTCACTCATTTAATTTCCTTGTTATCTAATTGATGACTAGTCTATTCTTGAGATATGGTTTAGACGTCTATTAAATTTTCATTGACAGTCAAAATTTTGCCTCGTTTTAGCCTAGACGTCTGGCCTGTGTTTGGACGGCTATTAGATGTCTTTTAAACGCAAAATTGCTTGCTGGGGTCTGTCTACTTGTTAACTTGTCTCTCTCATTAGCTATTGTGGAAGTACTAATATAGGCATAGTCATAATTATCTAAATTTAAAATCCTAAATATCAAACATGTTTGTGTCCGTGAGCTTATCGGAAGGTTTAAGGATTGATCTGTTTAAGGATTGACCTGTAAAATATTACCTGATAATCTGGGCCGAACATCGGAATCGACCAATGGCTTGTGTATGACTCAATAAATTAGATCATTACCTGCCCTTGCACTGACACGTCTTAAAATATACCACTGTTATTGTTTTGTCTCAAAATCCACACCAGTAATGGTTTTCTAAGACTTTATTATAAAAGCTACTTAAATGTCTTAATTGAATTTGGGCCTAATCCTGGCTTAATCTAAGCCCTGTCTGTGGAGTGTGAAACCAGGCTTACAGTACATGCGTACAAATACTCAGGTTCAGATAATGTAAGAAAAAAAATAAAATAAATAAAAAATAAAAATAAAACGGCAGCTGTCGACCAAGCTCTTTATCTTTGAAGGGTTAGTTCACCCAAAAATGTTCCAACCCCATAAGAATTTCGTTCATCTTCGGGACACAAATTAAGATATTTTTTTATTAAATCTGAGAGCTGTCTCACTCCTCCATAGGCTTCTAACGGATTGAAACTTGCCGGCCCAGAAAGTTATTAAATACATAAAATAGTCCAAGTGACTACAGTGGCTCAATTTTAAATTTATCAAGTTACGGGAATACTTTTTGTGCGCATCACACACATGACCAGTGTCGGCCAATAGTGAGCCTAAGTGTGACGTACAACACAGAAGCACTGACTAAGTGAACTCACTCGAGGCCCGAATAGATTATATTATCGAGAATAATAAAGACGATATTTTTGTTTATTTTATGTGTACAAAAAGTATTCTCGTCGCTTGATAAACTTAACGTTGAGCCACTGTAGTCACTTGGACTATCTTAACGATGTCTTTAATAACTTTTCTGGGCTGGCAAGTTTCAATTCCTTAGAAGCCTATGGAGAAGAGATCCAGCTCTCAGATTTAATCAAAAATATCTTAATTTGTGTTCTGAAGATAAACGAAAGTCTTAAGGGGTTGGAAAAACAAGAATGATTAATTACGGACAGAATTTTCATTTTTTAAAACTATCCATTTAAGTAATAAGGCGAGTGCTTGCAAGCACACCCTTATTTCCCGTCAAAGTGAATGTGTACAGTATGTGAAAAAAATTTAAAAAATAAAAAGACAATATTTTCATAGATGTCTCCCAAGGGACATTTCGTCTGAGATTTAAATAAGAAAAACTGATATATTTGTGAAACTATCTTTAAAAAAAATATTTAAAAAAGAAATTCATTCTTTTATTCAGCAAGGATGCATTAAATTAATCAAGAGTGACAGTGACCAATTTCACATTGTTGCAAAAAAATAAAAAATTATTTCAAATAAATGCTGTTCTTATGAGCTTTCTATTCTTCAAAGAAACTTAAAAAAAGGATCATGGTTTCCACAAAAATATTAAGCAGCACAACATTGATAATAATAAGAAATGTTTGAGCACCAAATCAGCATACTAGGATGATATCTGAAGGATCATGTGACAGGAATAAATTATATTTTTAAATATATTAAAATAGAAAACAGTTATACTGTAAATTGTGATAGTATTTCACAATATTAATGCTTTTACTATTTTTTTTTATCAAATAAACACATAAACGCATGTCTTGGTGAGTATATAAATCTTAATGACCCCAAATATTTTTGAATAAAAAATAATTATCGAATAATTTCTTATTAGTGAAGCGTTAGACATTCATTGACAAAATGAAAACGTTAACTTAATTGGCATCTGTGTAATTGCCCGATTCAATTAGTTCAGCTTCATTGGCTTGCTGATACTGACTAATATTCTGCTAATTTCATCAGCTGCACAGTCAAGATAAACATGACTGACATGAGCAGGTTCATCTTATTACAGTTATGATCGAAATGCTCACGTACAAAAAGCCATTGCTTATTTGAGGTCTGCTTACTCTAAGCAGATCAGATGGTTAAACTGATCTGAGGTCAGTTTTCAGCAATTTATCAGAAAGGAATGGAAGCTGATGCATTCAAGCACACAGATAAAGGCCTGATCTGAGATCTGTTCAAAAGGAAGCTTAGAGCTGATATGATTTGTTATGGTGGCACAGCAATAAACCTTTGAACTCTGTAAGTAGCAATACAGAGTCTTAAATGTAAAAAAAAAGTTCAATGGGCCTGGTTACTAAGTTATTGCTAAGCTCAGCAGTGGGAAGGAGCAATCTATAACATTTGTTCAGTTTCAATGACACCAGACTCTAATGCAACAAAACAGGTGGCCTCACTGTTGCAGTCACATTTAACACTCAGGATCTCACATGGGTCAAATGAGAAAGGTCACCTGACACATGAATGAATACTGAATTGTTGGGGGTGGGAAGCACAGGTGAGACACTAAATACTGATACACTTTCTGCCTACAGGGTCTGTCGTCAACATTTAAGTTTATTTAGGACACATTATACAGTCTGCAAACAATTCAAACAATTCTTCTATCATCATTCTATCACAATGCAACACAAAGCTGACACAATAAACAAGGATGTGTGAGGGTGCAAAAGTCAGACTAGCCCTCATTGTGTTCTTGAACAGACTGACCTCGACACCAAACTGTCAAAATCATTATGCAAGGAAGAAGCTTTTTAAAACAGCATTTGGGCTTTTGATTAATAAAGAACATGTGCATCCACTTTGTGGACTAGGTTTTGTCATGTGCAACAAAATAAGCTTGCTAATGACTGTCTCATATCCTTTTTCCATTTCAGGAATAAACATTAGTCCAAACTGACATTGATATTGTACATACACTGTACTAGTCATCATAGCATGCCAAGTATTGACTGATTCTGAGCCATCACCGACTGTTCGCTGGATCAATATGCACTCCAGCTACAACCATACAACGTGTGTGTGTGTGCCCTTCATCTTTTGGGGTGTCCAAGTGTGACTTCAGCAACTTTACTCACAGAAAATATTCTCTACTTAGAATAAAATAATAAATAAAATAAAAATACAAATATCTGGGTGGTTATCTTTTTTCTCTCATATCCCTAAATCTTACCTTGGCTCTTATCTGACCAGACGTGGACACTTTTCGGATAAGTTTGTTAGAGGTCTCCTCCGGCTCCCCGTCACTGTCCGATGATTCGTCACCCGCCTCGGCTTGAGGGTCCGGAGAGGTCAGGGACTCCCGGGGCTCCCCGACATAAAGGACATTTGGATTGAACTTTGAGGCCATGACTGTGCAAGGGGACAGGATTTTCACTGCACTTGTGTCCTCCTTTGTGCCAAGTCAGCTCTGAAACAGAGAAGGCATTGCTCAACGGCTGCTAACAGTATTGATTCCCAAAGAGACCTCTTCTGCTTTCATTTTAAAGACCAATGAAGATTTAGGAACTACAGTGTTCAAAGCAAATTCATTTCCACTATTTTTATTGTTTTAAGGCCAACAAAATATACCAGTGAATAAACCAAAGGACAGTTAACAGCAACATTTAATTGAGATGAGAGACAGCTTTCTAGGAGATATATAATCCAATGTTTTGCTACATTAGGTAAAGCAATGTTTATTATTATTTGAATTGGCTGCCATGCAAAACTACGCATATGCTTGCTTTCTGTGCAAATTATAGTGGTTTGCGAACGTAGACGCTTTAATAACAAATAATCTATTGAGCGATTAAGTTGGGCTGTGTAGTGTGTATACATGTAGGTCACTTAAAACTATTTGATGACATTTTATTTAAATAGGGAAGCACATCTAGATCTAGCCACTGCCTTACCCTTGGTTCACCCTCCGTCTATGAACAGGGGATTATTTTGTATATTGCACAATAGCATTATGGGTCACTGAAAAAAAGGGTGGAGATATTTCAGATGATAAAAAAAATTACAAAAAAAAACAAAAAAAAAAACAATCTTTGTATTCATGTTGGTTTCACGCATCAAAACTATTTTTAAAAAGTTGGGTAATCACCAAGTGCAAACATTTAATATATATATATATATATATATATATATATATATAATGTTTATCCTCTCTATTTTACTATTTTATCATCACATTACAAAAATGGGCTTTCTGCACGTTGGCTATACCACTGATTTAGCAGACAAAAGTTTTTAAATAGCCTATTAATAATATTTTAAAACAACATTTCTTCATTGCTTTGTCCCCCAGAATAAGATTATGCTAAACAACTTATTTTTAAAATTCCCTTTTATCAGCCATTTAATGATTTAAAAAATCTCCAGAGTTAAACCATCACACATTTGTTTTTACTTTAATCCGCACAAAATCACATTTCCAGTTGATTTTTAATTCACAGAGTGAAAACATCATAGGCTCCGATGTATAATATATTCAGGTAACTTTATGAATTGCGTTTTGAATAAAAATAGATCCAGACAAAATAAAGAGCGACACGTCATTGACCCTTATGCAGACGGTGAAGCCCATTAGCGCTCAGGATCGATGCAAACCCATCTGACATAATCCACAGACGGTTGCTGTCAGCCAGGGCTTTGAGATACATGAACTCGCTGACTGTTGCGCCGCGCGTGTTCACAGCTGCGCATTCGCCGCGCTCACAATCATTTGATTTCGCGACATTCCGAGTCCGCTATCACCTTTCCATCTGTTAATTTAATTACTACCCATCTTGTCCCCAAAATATTGCCTTAACATGTCTCCATATCTAAAACACGACCCTTTCTGCACCGGACTTCGGTTTATAGGACACACATCTCTCGAAAACATGAAATAATAACTACCTGTTATGATGTCGCGCGTTTGGCTGTCTACGTGTGAAAACAAACCAGTCGCTTTGCAGAGCAATAAAAATACGTTTGACTCAATAATGACATTTCTAATAGTTAAACGCAGGCGTCTAATGGGCTTTTGAATTTGAGAAGATTATATTTACAGAGAAATCTCTGACTCACCAGCCCCAGCTGTGTTCTCGTCTTTTCAACCCAAAACAGCAGTGTTACAGGCAGCATTTATGTTGTACATAAACAATTTAGCGATCTCACGCGAGCAGCAATCTCCGGCTTCGTCATTTGAATAAAACTGCAAACGGTTTGATTCATTTAACGCTCGCAGCCCTCGGCCATCACTTTCTGAATGGACAAATAGACTCAACTGTCACTCTCGCGCACGATGCCGTCTGCGGCGGTTGTACCGACTAAATGTAAAGGCGGACGAGGATGTGGTGTTTTACCTCTATAGTGCGTTGTCTGCTCCCGTTGACCCTCGTGTGTGTGTGTGTGTTCTTGTTGCTCTTGGTGGGCTCTCGCGCAGCGCGGTTAGATACTGTCAAATCTGCTTCTGTCGCGCACATACGCGCGTATATGCGCGCGTACACGCATAGCATCGGATAAGATTTGAATCGAATGGGAGGGGAGGGGTGGACTAGAGCGCGAGAGCGGCTGTGTGTCAGCACATCTGGATGGCTTGACAACAGATATCTATGAAATGTTTGAGACTGAGATAAATGCTTCTTCACCTATTATCGTTTTGCTGCAGTTCTCTATTTAGACATAATGCTCTACTACAGGAACGCTTCAGAAACTTCAGACTGGAGCAGGCAGTGTTTATAAGGAAAGGGGGGTCGAAGAAGAAATAGGACTTGTTGCTACACATCGAGCTGATTGACAGTGTTCTTCTGAACATTCAAAGGTAATAATGGGTCAGACAATCGCAGCAGCAGGTCTAATGAGCTATCAAGAATGTGGACGTACTTTTTATTAATAATAAATTATAGCTATTGTGGACTTTGGTCCTTAATGAGGATCTTAACAAAAATAACCGCATTTAGGAACCCCAATAGCAACAATCAGACATGTCAAAGTAATACAGTTTACTAGTATAGCTAGCTAGCAACCGATTTAGCATAGCCTACTAGACATTTATTTGGTGTAGCAGGAAGTGCAAGAGAAAATAGACTTTTTACACCACTGATATTTGCACAGTGAAATACAGCTATATAGGCTATCCGACTTCACCAAGCTCCACTATTGACCAACCAACACCAAAACTATTCTTAAATCTAAGTTTAACATTTCTTTAAACGATAGCATGTCTCTCTATTTCTGCATCTTGTTCCAAACATAAATAAATAAACAAATAATTATTTAATAATTATAATAATAAACACTTTTATAAACTTAGCTACAAATTCACACTTACTTTAACAAATGTACGATTACTCAGCAAATAGTCCCCAGATTGAATGCTAGGAACCAAAAATCCCCTGCCCATTTAATGCCTGCACGAGAAGAAAAAAAAGGTGTGTAGTTTCAACATGAATGGATGAAATAAACTTCAATTTTACACATTTAAGTGATTTGCACACAATGAAATTAAGTCGTAATAAGATGTTCAAGAATGGTGTAGGAGTAAGTGAGAAAACTGTGTTTGAGTGCTTTACACCCTTGGTTTTTTTTTTTTCTGTCCCATATTTCTCCAACACATTAGCCATGGCCAAAAGCATCTCTTGCCATTTAACAACCACTCTCAACTCTCAAACGAAAATAGAATATATACACAATGAAATACATGCTGTTCTGAGACCAGTTTAACCACTGCTATCATGTTTGATTAAAATCACGATGGCAGTGCATCAACAAATTAACTCTCTGTAAACTGCTGTTATCTCCCCTGACGTCTCTTATGTGATTGTAGCCTATAGTCGTTAAAATGAACAGTCACATTAATTTTATGATCTTTTTGTACCATCAATTCTTGTTTTGCATCTACATCCATCACCATAATAAGCTCTAATGGCTATTAGCTCCTAGGCACTCTTTCACATCCATAATACTATAAATAGATGCTAATTTTCTGTCATAAGAAAAAAAAATTGCCACAAATTGACGTGTGCTTTCATGTTTAATACACACCTGAGTGGCATCTAACTGCCGGCCTGAGTCGATTTACATTCACATCGTGCTGCAGCCAACAAACCAGGGACTTAGAAATTATTTTCATTTAAATTCAAGTAGGCTATGTTACAAGAGCGTTTATTATGCTTTACTAACATTAATGTTCTGAAGACAGAAAATATAATAAATTAACCACTATATACAGTAGTAGCAAAGAGTATTTCCTTAATTCTGAATCACAGTTTATATGCACAAATATCAATCAATATTCCACTTATTATGGAAAGCTACTAGGCTACCAGTAGATAGAACAAATGAAAAAAAAAGTTTGTTCCCCATAATAAGTTATAGGCCTAAGGTATCATAGATTGAATAGCCTAATCAATATGTGTATTTTCAGCATGTTAAAAAAATGTACCAATTAAGAATGACTAACTTTAGAATTAAGTGAAGGGAGGTTTGAAAATCCCCAAAAATGCTTCAAAAACAGATAATAATTGTCTAGTTACTATCTTAAAGGCTGTATAGGCTAAAGTTAGGCTGAGTAAGGGACACCCCCACAAACTACAGACCGAGTCATTATTTTGGATCCTATAGCTTTCTGCTGCCACCCAGCGGTGTAAATTAAAACTCACTGTCTGTCTAATGCTATTGGACCCAATTAAATATCTTCAAGGTCACTATAATTATATTCAGCGTCGATGTAGTAAAACACCACATCCCGCGTCTTAAAATAAAGTTGCCTACTTTTGAGATGTGGGGCAAACTAGTTAAAGAACTTAAAGTAGAGATTTTTTTTTTCAACCGTGCTATGAGCAATCAATAGCCTAGTTGGTGTGTGGGATCAAAGAGATGCATGAACACGGATCTCACAGAGAAAGAGTTTCGTGATTCCCGGAGTGCTGCCGTGCCCCTCGAGGTACGTCACCCTTCGCATATCCACGCGCACTTAAACCACTGCAGAGGAAGCACATCCTACCGTGCGTTGCCGTGCGCAAGCAGAAGCACGACTGGGGCTCGGTGATGCAGATGCAGGCTACACTTGCGAACAACATTCACTCTTAAATGTAGCCTATAGCTTATACAAAATGTTTAATCATCAGACGGTTCATGCAAAAGAATTGTTTCACCGTTTATCGGTTGCCATGGAAACGCGTCCAGTGAGATGAAAGTTGCCTCAGTCAGATGAGGGATGGATGCATCGATATATAGGTAGACAGACAGATAGATAACCAATTAGAAAGACAGACACACAGAAAGACAGATATATAGATGGTATACATACAATCAGACCAGGCCTATATATATATAGGCTATATATAGAAAGAGAGAGAGAGAGATACTATTCCTATTCACTGCCATTTACGTCATTCTCATTTACTAGACATGAAACAATGAGCCTCTTTGATCTTCTTCAGTGAAAGAAACGCGTTTCTATCTGAATGTGTGAGTGTTCTTGATAAAAATGTGATTACACATGTACAATTATTGAAACATTTGTACCATGTATATTTCCAGTAAAATATGCATATGAACCGTTTTTTTTTTTGTTTTTTTTTTTGTATTCTTCGCAAGGTGAGTGAAAATAAATATTTAAAATGTGTGGATTTCTGTCTCAAAGGAACTGAATACTAATCATGCAAAAGAGCACGACTGGAACAGGATTATCATTTTAACAACAGTGCACAGGGGAACTGCACAAGCAGAAACTGCTAATTGGTTCAACAGTTGAGGAATATTATCTAAAGATCAGTGAATCGTTTAGAACAATTCCCAATGGACTCCTCAACAGAGTGAACAACAGCCCTTTTGCATTGACTAGAGATCAGCTTTGCCATCTCCTCAGTAATTGTAAGATAAAGATAAGGCTAAGGGTGCTAATTCCAGAGCAAAATAACCAAGTGGTGGAGCTGTTTTAGAGAATTAATAGATGAGTCCTCTGATAAAAATGGTGTGTTCAAGTCCTCCAGGGAAATTTGGGAAAAAGTTGGGAAGTCGTGTTCATGAAATGAGTCTCTTTCGATGGAGCATAATGTCAATGTACCAACACCAAAATATAGCAAGGTTTTTAACTCTATATTTCTATAAAATGAAGAACAAAAAATGTGCGTAGTGTTTTGCGGTTTTGTTTTTAATTCATTTAAGAAGCCACTGTAAACTTTATTGTTACATATTATATTGGTATATTACAATGATATTTTTTGTGTGCAGGCAATTAGCTACTTAATAAAAAACAAAAAAATACCTGGCAATGTCACTGCTGTGGTATTCTGCCATGTTTCTCACTGACACTCCCCCAACTCGTACAGATGAGGTCTCAAAGACAATCCAGAGCTTCTGGTATTTACAACTTTGAGGTGAAATGTGCGCTCGACTTGTATATACGATCTTTCCGACATGACTTGAACTCACCAAAAGTTGCTGTGAAATCTATGGAGAAAATAGAAAAATAAACAGACTTCCAAATGGGAAAACAACTAGACAGGAGAATATTCCCCTCAAAGCAAAATAAATGATGGATTTACAGCTGACAATAGGTTCCAAAAATATGCAGAAAGTCTTGTCATCGTATAATGCAAAGTTGTTTTTAAATTGTATTTATTTATTGAAAATAAATTATTTGGATACAAATCCTTTGGGTATAAATACATCTTTTAAAAAATAAAATCAAATAAAAAACCTCATCAATTTTGTGTACATCATGTCATTACGCTATTAATCAAGGGTTTGTTTACCCAAAAATGTCGCAAAAATTATGTCATTTATAACTCACTTCATCTTCGGAACACATTTTAATATATTTTAGATTTAGTTTGAGAGTAAATCTCTTTCTATCCATCCATTGAAAATGTATGTACGGTATACTGTCCTTGTACAGAAAGGTAATAAAGACATCATCAAAGTAGTCCATGTGACATCAGTGGGTTAGTTAGAATTTTTTGAAGCAACGAAAATACATTTTGACGCTGCTGACGTAAGACGCTGATGATGTGTATCTCGTGTGGCCGAGCTTCGTTTACAGTCTGAGGGAGACGCACGCTGAAAATGAAACAATCTTCGCAAACATGTCTAAGGATTTCCACACAGAGGAAGACACGAATACACGGATACATTCGAGGAAGCCCGAATACACGGGCACACCAGATACACATCAGCAGCATCACGTCATTAGCGTCACTGAACGCAGATCGACAACAGAACACAAAGACAATACAATGCTGAATAAAGTCGTAGTTTTTGTTATTTTTGGACCAAAAATGTATTTTCGATGCTTCAAAACATTCTAACCAACCCACTAATGTCACATGGACTACTTTGATGATGTCTTTATTACCTTTCTGTACAAGGACAGTATACCGTACATACATTTTCAATGGAGGGACAGAAAGCTCTCGGACTAAATCTTAAACTGTGTTCCGAAGATACATGGAGGTCTTACGGGCTTGAAACGACATGAGGGTGAGTCATTAATG